GCGCATCAAGGACAACAGCTATGGAATCAACGTGTCCCATTGTTTGCCAAGCCCGGTGCCATGGGTGACGAGCAATTGCAAAAGGTCTTGAGGGCCTTTGCCGAAGATTTGGTCGTTCTCACGGGGCCACCAGCACCTGAGGTTCCCGAGACGTTGGGTGCTGATCCCGAAGAGACCTCGGACAAGGAGTTGGAACCTTCAAACTCAAACAAAGGTGAATGTGTGATTGCGAAGGCTCCCAAAAAGAAGATCACAACCGATCACCGCCGTCTCAAGAGAAATACTGCTGGAGCCAGCGCTAAGGCCGCTCGGACCACAAGCAAGAATGCTGGTAAGAAGTGAAAGCGACGTTTGTCTGATTTTTCCAAAAGCGGGCAAGACACGCCGAGTTCTTCTTCTTCTGATGGAGATGAGGATCAAGATGCCAATTTCAACGACAGCGATGACAATGATGAAGATGATGACAATGAAGATATTGATGATGAAGATGAATATGAAGAAGGGGATGTCGATGATGAGGTTGATGACTGACCGTTCTTCTCTCTTATGTGTATTTGTACCATCAAACATGAATCCCCACTCAGCCTGATGCTTGTTTCTTCACATTTTGTCTTGTCTGGTTTTCTCCGGTTCCTCTTATAAATACAAAACAAAACAAAAAAAATCTCCTGTGTCCAATTCCTCTCACAGATTCTAAAATACATTTCATCTCATCTTCTGTTGCTTTTGCTCTCATGTATATAGACCTCACATAAAACTTAAACCCCAAAAAAATTGCCTTGCAAATCATACACAAATTGTATTACTAGAAAAAAATGGGAGCGAAAAATGAGAGGAAAAAACTGAGACAAAATGAGAGGAAAAACCCGAGACAAAAAAATGAGGTTGAAAGTATTTTGAGAGAAAATATATTGAGATTGAGATTGTGTTGTCGGTGGGGTGTTGTGTATGGAGTGTGTGCGGGTGTGTAAGACGGGTTGTGGTAAGTGATGTGTAAGGCCGGTGTGGGTGTGTAAGGCCGATAACGGATGTGTAAGTAAGGGAGCCGGGGTGCGGGGTGTGTACACCCGATGATATGTGTTTTAGGGGAGTGATGTGGCTGTATGATGACATGTGATGTAGCTGGGCGAGGCTGGGTGGCAGGCCTCAAGGGGCACCTGGGGAATGAGGGACTTAGAGAAATTTTTCCAGGTGGCAAAAAGCTGGAAATCGAGGTACCCCTGGAAACTCTGGAAAGTCTATAGGTTTGCAGGGAAATGACCGGTCTGTGTAGTATAGGATTTTTGTGTGAATGTACTTATAGTATAGTACAATGTAGTGGCCACGGGTGGTTTCAGTTCCCCTCAGAATGAGGAAGTGGTCCCACCAGGTGCAAACCATACAAAACAATTTGCAAGATTTGGGAAGGATGAGGAGAGCTTCTTCCACATCTTCTTTATAGTAACAAAATGTAGTGTTAAAATACATCTGGGAACAGGCTTCTTGAAATTCTGGAAATAATATTCATTATTGAGATCAAAAAATGAGGGATCTGTAGTTTGAATCAGTGTGAAGATCATGAGGCTATGACTGAATTTGCATGATGAGTTATACAATAAATTAGTGCTCCAAAATAATGCATTACTAGATCCAGGGAAAGCAGTATGTGCTGAATGAATCTGCCATTGCTACCAACTGAAATTCTTGGCATCTCAATGATTTTTTAGCCCAGTAGTGAAGGAAAGCATGCATGGATATGTATCTCAGAAATTCCCTGAGCAATCAAGCACTTTGCCATTCTTTGGGCACAGTCCTTGCGGACCTTGTCAATTTTGCGACCAAGGATTGTACCCACCTTTGGGCAGAGTCCTCACAGACGTTTTCCAGTACTTTGCCTTCCCTTTAGGCACAGTCCTTGAAAATTTTGTCAAGTTCACGACTGAGCACTATCCCCCCCCCTTTGGGCAGAGTGCTTGCGGATTTTTTTCAAATTTCCAACCTAGGACTGTGCCCAAAGAGGCGGATTTTGTCAATGTCGCGACTGAGGGGTCGATGACTATCAGCGGATTTTGTCAAATCCGCGACCGAAGATCCCACCCCCCTTTGGGCCAAGTCCTCGCGGTTTTTCTGTCAATTTGGCGACCGGGACTGTGTTCGAAGCTTTTGCCGCCGAGGTCTGTTCCCGCCGTGGGGCAGAGTCCTCGCAGATTTTTGTCGAATCTTCTTATCCGCGACCGAAGACTGTGCCCGAAGACGCGGATTTTGTCATCGGCGTGTTTTTCCTTTACCCGTTCACTCGTCTCACATGGGCAATAGACCTGTCCTTATTCCTTATTTTTGGGTGAACAATTTGTTGTATCTGCTTCTTCCAGTTGAATGATATGCATCTGCTTCTCTCAAGTATGTCTCCCCAAGAGAAAATCCATTTTTCATACCTCTTTCGCTAGTCTAAAAGTCCCAAACAATTCTAGTCAAGTCATCAACGTCCACATGAAAAGGCGAGTTTGTCTTTTTTTTTCTTTCTTTCATTTGATTGCTTGAACGAAAACATGAAATAGAGTAGTAAACCTGGGGGGGGGGGGGAGTCCATGTTCCTG